CATTTCTGCCATTAAATATGCCCATTTTGGCGAGACACAAGGGCTGTGTGGATCATTCAAGAAGGGCAGTTGTGGTGGCGCTAAGGATGCTCTAACCATTCTCAAAACTGCATGCGAGGGGAAGGAGTCCTGCTCGGTGACTGCTATTGAGGATGTGTTCGGGAAGACAAATTGTGATGGGAAGAAGAGAAAGAAGTTGGTGGCGGAAGCTGTTTGCTCCAAAATTTTGTAGTTTTCGTTTAGTGCAGTTTTAGTTACTGCTAGTTCAGTTGCTAGCTAGCATTTGATAATACTTCCATTAATTAATAAAAGTGATTTCTGAGCATTACGGAGTATTATTTCACACAATTTTGATTTATCAGGATAATTTCTAACAAACAAAAACAATTAAAACAGAATGAAGAATTATTATTATTAATATACCCAATGCCTTCATTGACTATAATTTATTACATAATGCTTTAAATTATGATGACTTTAAACTAAAAACAATAATTAAAATGGAAGCATATTTTTATATATTATATTATATTGTGAGGACCAAGGATCTTGTGGTCTAAGGGGGTTATCAAGAGCTCCCACATGGGAGGTTGTGAGTTCGAGGCACTATTAATTGACTCTCTGTGTTTTGGTATATTTCGAGCCTCAGTGTAGGCATAGATTGTATGGGTATCCCCCTTCCATTGTAATAAAAAAAAAAAAAGATGCTGCATTCAAAATTTAAAAAATATTATATAGAAAAAGTATAATACTTTTGACAAAAATGCCGTTTGCACAAAAATGCAAAATTATTATAAGTAACAAACATTTTGTTCTTGATTACGATTATATTTAAGTTGGAGAATTAAAATGCATGTGATCATAATAGATCTGTTAAATAGAATTATGGTTCATTTCGTGAAATGCTTCATGAACTTTGCAAAATTTACTCTCCAACTTTTACTTTTACTTGTATTCAAATTTAATTGGAGGAAGAAAAAAATGAATAGATAAACATTGTGAATTAAATTAAACAATCAACAAATCAGAAGAGTATAATAATAATAATAATAATAATAATAATAATAATAACCACTGAAATAGTTACCTACCCTTTTGAGACAGCTGGCCCGTGGTTAGACAATCATTATTGTATGGACCATGGTCCACACAAGTTGTGTGGACCATATTTTGTTTAAGTATAAAAATAATGTACATTCAGTATAAAAATAATGTACATTATATTCAGAGGATGTACATTATTTTTGTTTTGAGTATACATTATATTGTATAATATACATTCAATACAAAAATAATGTACATTTAATATATTAAAAATGTACATTTTATTATGGTTCACATAACATTGTGTGGATCATGGTCGATAGAATAATTTGCCGTGGTTAGAAGTACTTGACCCCACACACTTACAAAATAAAATGAAGATGCAGATTCTAGGAAGTTTCCTCATAGAGTCGTAGCCTTGTAGAAGCCCATTAAACATCCTCCCTTTCTTGTAAGTCACGTGATAACCTTGGGGGTGTTTGGTTCACTATTTTAGATATTTCAAATTTTCAGTCGTAATCAAAACTTATACTCCGCGTAATAATATTTGTTTTAAAATTAAATTAAACAATTGGAATTAAATTCTATTGGAATGAAGATTTTGATTACTTCTCCCATAAGATTTTGATTAGGGAAAATGACACTTTTTACCCCTGAGTTATATACTTATAACACTTTTTCCCCCTCAATTATTTATGTAAGCACATTAGCCCCCTCAATTATTCTAAAAGTAGTGTTTTTTCCCCCCTGATATATTAAATTGACATTTATACCCTTAAAGTAAACATTTTATTTATTTTACTACTCCAACAAGTTATTGCGTATACGTAGGGATGACCACGGTTCGATTTGAATTGAACCGGATACTAAAGCAATCGAATTAATAGTTTACGGTTATAATTCAGATCTAGAACCCAATATTTAAATGTCAATTTATTAAAATTATGTATCAAAAAATTGAATCTTGAACCGTGAACCGGCGGTTCCGGATTTGATTCGTGGTTTTGAACCGTCTTTATTTTAAAATTTTATTTTTTATTTTAAAATAGTATAAATTCAACAATAAATGCATTTTATTTTTATTTTTTTCGGAACATGAACCGTCCGTTCCGGTTCACGATTTTAATAAACTCTAAATATCGAATTTCGATTCTAAATTGTAATTGGAATATTTCGGTTTGGTTGCTGTAGTGTTTGTTTAGTTTGAACCAAATTATGGTCATAATTTGTTGGAGAAAAAAATAAATTAAATATTTAGTTTAAGGGTAAATATGTCCATTTAACATTTCAGGGGGAAAAACAGCCACTTCAATAACTTAGGGGGAAAAAATGCTATAGGTATATAACTCAGGGGGAAAAAGTGCCATTTTCTCTTTTGATTACTTATTATCATATCCTTAGTCAACTTTCATTTCCTTCTTTACTTCTTTTTTTTTTTTAAGAAAAAATAAAAGCT